TTGAGTGGAGTAAAGCGGAAACGGGGGTTGGGCCTTCTATGGCGGAGGGAAGTCATGGGTGGAGACCAAATTGTGCGAATTTTCCTGTAGCTGCTAGGAGGAGACCCAGTAAAGGAAGTGTACTGGAATTTGGAGTAGTAATAAAAATTTGTTGAAATTCTCATGAGTTGGAGTAGCTTAGGAATCATGCTATAGCTAGGATAAAGCCAATATCTCCAATACGGTTATAAAGGATCGCTTGTAGGGCTGCTGTGTTTGCATCTGTTCGTCCCTATCATCATCCGATGAGGAGAAAAGATATAATACCTACTCCTTCCCATCCAATGAAAAGTTGGAATAGATTATTAGCGGTAACTAAAATTAGTATAGTGATGAGGAAAGTTAATAAATATTTTAAAAAGCGGTTGTTATGGGGGTCTGAATGTATATATCATATTGAGAATTCTATGATGGATCATGAATAGGGCTATCACGAATAGGGCTACTGGTACAAAAATTATGGAGAAATAGTCTATCTTAAAGCTTAGGTAAAATTTTATAGTTTGAATAGTTATTCAGTGCCAGTTAGAAATAATTGTTTCTTGGTTTGTGTATAAGCATATGAATATTGGGACTAAGCTTGTTATGAATGCACAGGCAATAGAGTTTTTTACATAGTATGGATATGTGTGCATATCATATTTTTTAGTTGTTGTAATAATAAATGGGGTGATTAAGAGTGTAAGTGATAGTAAGATGGAGGATGAGAATAAATTTATTACTTTTATTTGGAGTTGCACCAATTTTTCGGTTCCTAAGACCGATGGATTACTTCTATCCTTTAAAAGTAAGAAAGCCATACTGTTATATATGGGGGCATGAGTTAGCAGTTCTTGCATACTTTCTTGGTAAATAAGAAATCTCGGGTTTCTATTGTTAGATTCACAATCTAATGTTTTGTTTAAACTATATTTACAGTATATGGTTCCTATAATTAGTTTGGGATTAGCGGATAGTAGGACTAGGGGTAGTAGGTGTATAATTATTAATGTATTTTCTCAGGTGAATGGGGGTTTAATGTTGCTGATGTGATATGTATATTTTCCTCGTTGTGTTATAGTTAACATATATAGGGAATATAGGGTGGTAATTAGGGTATTGAGACCTATTAAGATGATAGTTAAATGTGATCATGAAAATGATGCTATTATTACAGATAGTTCACCGATTAGGTTAATTGTTGGGGGGAGGGGCTAGGTTAGTTAGGCTGGCAAGGAGTCATCATGTTGTTGCAAGGGCTAAGAGGGTTTGAAGGCCACGGGCTAGTGCTATTGTTCGACTGTGGATTCGTTCACAGTTTGTGTTTGCTAAGCAAAATAGTAGGGAGGAGGTGAGGCCATGGGCAATTATAAGGACAGTGGCTCCGATGAAACTTCATGGGGTTTGGATAAGGACTGCTACGATAACAAGAGCTATATGACTAACCGAGGAATAGGCAATAAGTGATTTTAGATCTGCTTGACGTAGGCAGATGGAACTAGTTATAATCATGCCTCATAGGGAGAGTATTAGGAAGGGGTAAGCTATATGTTCTGTTGTTGGGTTTAGAATAACTGTCATTCGTATTATTCCGTATCCTCCAAGTTTAAGTAAAATCGCTGCAAGGACTATGGAGCCTGCAATTGGGGCTTCACATAGGCTTTGGGTAATCATAGGTGGAGCCCGTATACAGTATTTTTACTATAAAAGCTATTATACAGGCTAATCAGAGAATATTATTTGATCAAGAGTTGGGAAGGTTTGGTATAATAAGAGAATTAATTGTTATATTTAATATTCCTAGGAGATTTTGGGCATAGATAAGAGCAATGAGTAGGGGAAGGGACCCAATTAGTGTATAAAATAAGAAGTAAAGGCCGGCGTTTAGTCGTTCTGTTTGGTTTCCTCATCGTGTGATAATAATTAGTGTGGGAATTAAAGTTGCTTCAAATAGGACATAGAAGAAAATTAATTCTGTAGCAGTAAAGGTTATGACTAGGAAAATTTGAAGTATAATCAATATGGAGACATATAATTTTTTTCGTGCAAGTGTTTCTTTTGATAGGTGGCTTTGGCTGGCTATAATTATTAGGGGGAGTAGTCAGGTAGTTAAGATTAGTAATGGTGTTGATAGGGAGTCAGTAGAGAAGGTGAGTGAGAAATTTGTATTATTATTGTGAAAATAGTTTAAGAGAGAAAGAGTGGTGAAGCTAATTATTAGGCTATGGGCTGTAGTATTAATTCAGATAGTATGTTTTTTAGAGTATCATGTTAATGGGACTATTATTAATGTTGGTAAAATAATTTTTAGCATTGTAAAAGGCTTAGGTTTTGCACATAATCTAGGCCATATGTATTTGATACCATTACTAGTAGAGCTAATCCTACAGCGGCTTCGCAGGCTGCGAAGACTAGGAGTATAATTGGAATTATGTTGGCTAAGGTGAAGTGAAGATTTAGGATTGTTAGTGAAGTTATAATAAATATTGAGAGTATTATAACTTCTAGGCATAGTAAGGAAGATAAAAGATGTGAGCGATATATCAATATACCTAGGAGTGATGTTAGGAAAGCAAGGAGAAGGTTAATATAGATGTATGGCATTCTGGTAATTATGCATTGCGCATAGTCTAATGAGTCGAAATCATTTATTTTTAATTAAACTAATTACCATATTCAGTTCATTCAAGTCCTTTTTGAATCCATTCATATGCGAGTCCTAGGGCTAGAATAGAAATGAGGGCTAGGGCTATAATTAGTATAAGATTGAGGTTTGTTGTTTGGGTAGCTCAGGGGAGAGGGAGGAGAAGAGCAATTTCTAGGTCAAATAGGAGAAAAGTGATAGCAATTAGGAAAAATTTTATAGAGAAAGGTAAACGAGCTGATTCTGTTGAGTCGAAGCCACATTCATAAGGGCTAGATTTTTCTGTGTATATATTTAGTTGTGGGAGTCAAAATGCAATTGAGACCAGGAGTAATGCAAGTGTTATATTTGTAACTAGTGATAAAATTAAATTAATTGTTCCTTCCTGGGTTATACCAGGGCTAATTGATTGGAAGTCAATTGTACTAATTAATACTAAAGGGACAGGACCCTCATCAATAAATAGAGACATATAAGAATAGTCAGACTACGTCTACAAAGTGTCAGTATCAGGTGGCAGCTTCAAATCCAAAATGGTGGTTTGATGTAAAGTGGAATTTTAATTGTCAGAGAAAACAAATGGCTAAAAAGGTTGAACCGATGATAACATGGAGTCCGTGAAAGCCTGTAGCCATAAAGAAAGTTGATCCATAGACGCCATCGGAGATGGTAAATGATGCTTCAAAATACTCTGATGCTTGGAGTAGAGTAAAATAAATACCTAATATAATAGTAATTAATAGAGCTTGGAGTATTTGCTTACGATTGCCTTCTAGTAGACTATGATGGGCTCAAGTAATTGAAATGCCTGAGGCTAGTAAGACAGATGTATTGAGTAAGGGTACTTCTAGGGGGTTTAGGGGGTAGATGCCTGTTGGGGGTCAGCAGCCTCCTAGTTCTGGGGTTGGGGCTAGACTGGAGTGGTAAAAGGCTCAGAAGAAGCCTGCGAAGAAAAATACTTCTGAGATGATAAAGAGGATTATACCATATCGGAGACCTTTTTGTACGATTGATGTATGGTGGCCTTGAAAGGTTTCTTCTCGAATAATATCACGCCATCATTGATATATAGTCAGTGTATTTGTAATAAGGCCTAAGGTTAAGAGCAAAAGGGAGTTAAAGTGAAATCATATGATAAGGCCTGATGTTATAAGAAGAGCTGAGAGGGCTCCAGTTAGTGGTCAAGGGCTAGGGTTTACTATGTGATAAGCATGTGTTTGGTGGGTCATTATGTGTTATCATGTAAGTAAAGGCTCACTAAGAGTGTAAATACGTAGGCTTGAATAAGAGCTACGGCTAGTTCTAGGATTGTCAGTAATATAAGAATAATGAATGTTGTTGATGCTGCAATAGTATTAATTGATGATAGGACTAGGGTAGCCCCTCCAATTAAGTGTATGAGTAAGTGGCCCGCTGTGATGTTGGCGGTTAGTCGTACGGCTAGGGCTATTGGTTGAATAAAAAGACTAATTGTTTCAATAATGACTAGTATAGGAATCAGGGGAATAGGGGTTCCTTGTGGGAGAAAGTGGGCTAAGGATGCCTTGGTTTTGTGGGGGAAGCCGGTAATTACTGCCCCTGCTCATAAAGGAATTGCTATACCTAAATTTATTGATAATTGAGTAGTTGGTATAAAGGAGGGGGGCAATAGGCCTAGTAAATTTGTGGATCCGATAAATAAAATTAGGGAAATTAGTATTAGAGATCAAGTTCGGCCTTTATTATTGTGCATAGACATTATTTGTTTAAGTACTAGTTGGATTAGCCATTGTTGTAAAGAAATAAATCGGTTGTTGACTAGGCGGGTTAAGGTGGGAAATAAGATAATTGGAAATATAATAATTAGTACTACTACTGGTAGGCCTATTATTGTAGGGGTTATAAAAGAGGCAAAGAAATTTTCATTCATTTTAGTTCTCAAAGGGATTTAAACGTTTGTATTTTAGTATTTATTAAGCTTGGATTAAGGGGATATACCAGTTTTGAAATATTTAGTTGAAATAAGCTGAAAAGTGTTAGTGTTATGGCTAAAATAGTAATAAATCATGTTGATGTGTTTAGTTGGGGCATTTCACTGTGGAAAGATTAATACTTTCAGTCTTTAACTTAAAAGGTTAATGCTGTATAAGCTTCGTAGTGTTAATTAAGTTATTGATGCTGATCAATCTTCAAAATATTTTAGTGGTACTAATTCTAGGACAATGGGCATGAAGCTGTGGTTGGACCTGCAAATTTCTGAGCACTGACAATAATAGAGGCCTGGTCGGGTTGATGTGAGTGTAGTTTGGTTGAGGCGTCCGGGAATGGCATCAGTTTTTAAGCCTAAGGAGGGTACAGCTCATGAATGAAGAACATCTTCTGATGAAATTAATATTCGAATTGGTATTTCTATGGGTAGAACTACGCGGTTGTCAACTTCTAGTAGTCGAAGTTCTCCTGGTTTGAGGTCTGTTGTGGGGATTATATAGGAATCGAAGTTTAGATCTTCGTAGTCAGTATATTCATAGCTCCAGTATCATTGATGTCCTATAGTTTTGACGGTTAAAAATGGATTATTAATTTGTCTATTATGTAAAGGATACGTAGGGAAGGAAGGGCAATTAAGATAAGGATAATAGCTGGTAGGATGGTTCATACTGTTTCTACTTCTTGGGCATCTATTGTGCTTGTGTGGGTTAATTTGGTTGTTAGTATTAGGGTAATAATAGAAAGTACTAATGAGCTAATTAGGAAAACGATTATCAGGGTATGGTCGTGAAAATGAAGTAATTCTTCTATAATAGGGGAGGTGGCATCTTGAAAGCCTAATTGGAAAGGATGTGGCATAAAAACACACAGGGGTTTATCCTGTAATCTAACTTTGACAAAGTTATGTAATAATTTTACTAGTATTTTGTTATAAAGAAAGACATAGTGGTTATGGAGTTGGTTTGAAACCAATTTGAGGGGGTTCAATTCCTTCCTTTCTTGTAAGAGATTACACTTTTATGTAGGTATGTTCTTCAAATGTGTGATAAGGTGGGGGGCAGCCGTGAAGTCATTCAAGGTTTGTAGCGGGTAGTTCAACTGCTAATACCTCTCGTTTTGAAGCAAAGGTCTCTCAAATTATAAAGACTATTAATATAACTGCGGTAAGAGAGATAAATGAGCCTATAGAGGAGATGGTATTTCATATAGTATATGCATCAGGGTAATCTGAGTATCGTCGGGGCATACCTGATAATCCAAGAAAATGTTGAGGAAAAAAGGTTAGGTTAACTCCTACAAATATAATTGCGAAATGGGTTTTGGCTCATGTTGAATGAAGGGTAAATCCTGAGAATAAGGGGAATCAGTGGACGAAACCTCCTATAATTGCGAATACTGCTCCTATGGATAAGACATAGTGAAAATGTGCTACTACATAGTAGGTGTCGTGAAGGACAATATCAAGCGAGGAATTGGCAAGGACAATTCCGGTTAGACCTCCAACAGTAAATAGAAAAATGAAGCCCAGGGCTCATAATATAGCGGGAGATCATTTAATGTTGCCTCCATGTAGGGTTGCTAATCAGCTAAATACTTTTACGCCAGTTGGAATAGCAATAATTATAGTGGCAGATGTGAAGTATGCTCGGGTATCTACATCTATTCCTACTGTAAATATGTGATGGGCTCAGACAATAAAGCCTAAAAATCCAATGGATATTATGGCTCAAACTATTCCTATATAACCAAATGGTTCTTTTTTTCCAGAATAGTAGGTTACAATATGGGAAATTATACCAAATCCGGGTAGAATAAGAATATAGACCTCAGGGTGGCTGAAAAATCAGAATAAGTGTTGATAGAGAATGGGATCTCCTCCTCCAGCAGGGTCAAAAAAGGTTGTGTTAAGGTTTCGGTCAGTCAAACGTATAGTAATTCCTGCTGCTAGAACTGGGAGAGATAGTAGTAGTAGAACCGCGGTAATGAGGACAGATCATACAAATAGAGGGGTTTGATATTGTGATATAGCGGGAGGTTTTATATTGATAATGGTTGTAATAAAATTAATAGCTCCCAGGATAGAAGATACTCCTGCTAGGTGAAGAGAAAAAATAGTGAGATCTACAGAGGCTCCTGCGTGGGCTAAGTTTCCTGCTAGAGGGGGGTAAACCGTTCAACCAGTTCCTGCTCCAGCTTCAACTATTGAGGAGGCTAGTAGCAGAAGGAAAGATGGTGGTAATAGCCAGAAGCTTATATTGTTTATTCATGGGAATGCTATATCGGGAGCCCCAATTATAAGGGGCACTAGTCAATTGCCGAAGCCCCCAATTATAATGGGTATAACCATAAAGAAGATTATTACGAAAGCATGAGCAGTAACGATGACATTGTAGATTTGGTCATCTCCCAATAGAGTCCTAGGCTGTCCGAGCTCTGCTCGGATGAGAAGGCTGAGGGCAGTTCCTACTATTCCGGCTCAAGCACCGAATAGTAAATATAGAGTTCTGATGTCTTTATGGTTGGTTGAAAATAATCAACGGTTAATGAACATAGGTAGGGTAAAATGGCTGATAAAGCATTAGGCTGTAAATCTAAAGATAGGGGTGGAGCCCCCTTTTTACCAAGTCCTGAGGTGAATATCATATTGAATTGCAAATTCAAAGAAGCAGCTTCAACTCTGCCGGGACTTCTCCTGCCTTTTTTTTCTTGGCGGCGGGAGAAGTAGATTGAAGCCAGTTGTATAGGGTATTTAGCTGTTAACTAAGTTTTCGTGGGGTTGGAGCCCACCAATCTAGTGTAAAGGATTTAGCTTAAAATTAAAGTGACTAATTTGCATTTAGTTGATGTGGAGTAAGCCTCTGCAGTCCTTAGTTGGGAAAAAGAAGGTACAGGAATTAAGCATGTATTAGCTTACTTAGGGCTTTGAAGGCTCTTGGTCTAGTTAACCTAAATTCCTATTCCAATGGTAGGAGTATAGGGGATATGGGTAAAAGTAAGGTGGATAAAGTTGTTAGGGTGGGTACAATAAGTATTTGTTTTGTGTTTTCGAATTGTCATTTTATTTTTGTACTATTGTTAACTGGGAATATGGTTAGGGTTGTTGAGTAGGTTAGTCGTATGTAGAAGTATAGGTTAAGTAAGGCTGTAATGGCTATTAATAATGGGATAAGGGTGTTATCGTTTTTTATGAGTTCTTGAATGATTGCTCATTTAGGGAGGAAGCCTGTGAGTGGGGGTAATCCCCCTAGGGATAGCAGAATTAGGGGTATTATGGATGATGCTAGAGGGATTTTATTTCATGAGTTGGATATTGTTAGGATGGTAGTGCTTGAAAATAGGATTAATATGGAAAACAGTGTAATTGTTAGGGTTGATATAGATGAGGAGGTTAAGGATTATAATGGTAGGATTATATTTTAGAATTGCGATTATTCATCCTATGTGGGCAATGGAAGAGTAAGCTAGGAT